GAGACTTGGCTGAAGAGCCACCGCTGCGTGAATCATGATGTGATGATGACGCTCGCTTTTATCGCCGCAGACCTTTTTTGGAACCGCCCAAACACCAAACAAGTAATCCCAGTGAAGGGAAAGCGCAGTACAGACAGACCACTGTACTGCGCAAGACAAGAAAAGCCTCTCTAATAATTGTTGTATCAACATAGGAAATTCGTGACTCTGTGATGAGAGTCGTAGTGGTCGTGGCTCCAATGAAGGGCCGAGATCTGGTTGTCATACAGTCGTACACTTTCGTAGAACATGCCCCTTGGGCCCGACAAGCGCAAGGGGAGGAATAGTAAGGGTACAGGTTTGTGCGCAGGATAGAAAGACATTACTCGCACGCAATTATCGACAGGGGAGAAAGGAAAAGGGTTGCCCGTTTTGTTGGAGGTTGGGGTTTAGTGGCCCCGGACGCCACCCGATGAACGACCGAGAAGGGTACCAGGGAACCGTAGGTCGCTAAGGAATTTGAAAAAGGCACGCTTGCGCGAAGGCGTTTTCGGGAGTAATGCGGCCGCCTGTTGCATGGGACCGACAATGTCTTCATCGCCGAGTTGGGGGAATTTTCCCTCGCTCTTGGGGTCGTGTAGCGTTGGCATCTTGCTTAGAGGCCCTGGCTCCGTGGGCGAATATGGAGCGAGCTCCTGGCCGGTGGCAGCCGCATGCGACTTGGCCAGATCGTGGTTCTTCTTCCATTCGGCGTCGATTTCAGCCCACTTTTGCTCGGTAAGAAGGTAGTGCCTGGATGTCACTCCATAGTGTTCCGCGGTTCGCACTTGGTGCTTCGCGTAGTTGCGACGTGCTTGCGCCCATTCGGCAAGGTGCTCTTCGATGGACGCGGCAGTGCACACCTCAGGGACGTAGGGCTCGGGTAGGATGGTGAAGTTCGCATGACCCAATTCGATGGCCCACTTGTCCTTTGGGTCGGCGAGCATGAGACGGGGTATGTCGGACGAGGGAACCATGTACCCGGCATTCGGTCCTCGGATTGAGGCAAAGGATGTCTTTGAGGACAGAGGGGGCGTAGGGTAAGTGCGCATTGGCGGGGTGCCGGCCGGGGTAGGGCCCACAGATTGGGCTGCATCTGCGACTGCTGGCGACTGCAGTGGCGACGACGCTGGTAGGTCATCGTTCCGGCAGTTTACAAGCAGCGGCGGTAATAGTGGCGTCGTGGCATAGCGCTCCCGTTCCACCTCCTCAGGGTCGATTTCCATGGCATTGGCCTTGTTGACGTCGATGGCCATTGGCGTAGGCGCATCATCGCTCAGTTGTTCCTTGCTTGCCAGCGCAGGCGTAGAAGTTGGCGACGCGTAGTCTTCTGGAAGATCGACGGTTGAGACATGGTGGATAGAACCAGCGAGCGACGAGGATCGCGTAGACGGGACCCTTGAGGGGGTTGCGCTGCGTGAAACTCTGCTGAGGGTCGAGCTGCGGTCGCGCACTCTGCGCGACAACGAGGGAAAGCGCCTCTCGAGCTTGCCGGCGATGCTGTGCGCGGAAGCCTCCAAGGACCGTCGGCGCTTGGCCAATCGCAGTTCCGAGTCGCAAGTGGTGAAGTACTCGTCCTGAGGCTCGTAGGCTTGGGATATCCTGCAGTCTTGCGCGTGGCTGTAGGTGCCTCCGACGTCACCTAGACGTGGATTAGTATGGCGAACACGGACGAATCGCGCGTGGTACTTACAAGAGCAGCGGTACGGGTCCTCACTGCCATAGTCGTATTCACGCTCAAGAGGCTCTTCGGTAAGCTTGGGCAGCTTGCCTGAGGCGTTAGGGGCCTCGGTGGGCTCGTAGGTTGGCGGGCTCGACGACAATGACGAAGCCGAGCTGGGAAAGCGAAAGTGGCCCCGGGTGTACTGACTTGGCGTGGGCGGTGTCGAGCACTCCGATGCCGAGTAGAAACCAGAGTCGGCATTGGAGTAGATGGACGCAGTCGGGTCGTCGTACATGTTGAGTGAGCTTTTGGAAGACTTGCGGGCAGCGATAAGCTGGGGAAGCTGGAGAGGTTTAAGGTCGTGCATGGTGGTTGTTGGTTCTTTTGGCGGTCGGGACGTGACGTGAATGGGCGCGAGCGACCAGGATCACATCACCAGCTTTCTCAAGCAGCTATGCGCGGGCGCGACAGTACGCCAGCACGTCGGGGTCGCGGCGCGCTGCTTTGGGACGGAGAGGCGGTCGGGCAATGTTTGAGAGGATGCCACGATAGCCGACCACGTATGTCGCTATGTACTCTTCGGCCTGTTTATGCTGCAGCAGAGACGTCTCTGGGGCTGGATGCAAAGTCAGCGCCTAATGCGGACGGCACGTGAGCGCGGTGGGCTCGGATTGGCACAACTCACCGAGGCGCGCGAGATGATCAGACTGCAACCGGATTTGCGAGTGCAAGCGAGAGACAGCGCAGCGATAAGGCGTCGACTTGAATGGCGAGAGAGTGTGACGTGGGCAAGCAAGAGAAACGGGCGGTGGACGGGGTGTGGGATAGTCGAGCATTTCTGTGTGGACAGCGACCGCACGGGTTCCACTGCTACGGTGCAACTCATGCCTGACCTTGCGCCTGGCTCGATTGGGCATGGCCGCCCGGCATGTCGACTGCTTCCGCGCGACTCAGATAGCCCGGTACACGAGGCCGTGACACTCACACCAGCCCTGGACTGTCTCCGCGCAGCCAGCACGCCAGGGCGCCGTCGCTTCAAGGTCCCCCAGCCTTCAATCCGCCGTTTAGACCACCGCGTCCGTGTCGCTACAGCCTGACCACAGCAGGTGGCTTGAATCAAACCCTACTCAACAGTACGGGGCCTGCCTCGGTGTTGAATTTTCACCTGCCCAACCTAATTATGCGATATGTCGTTGGTGGAGGCGCAACAAATCATCCCTGGCCGTTCCCACTCACGCACTTTAAACTTTGTCGTCGTGGAAAAGCCTCTGAGCAAACTATGCAGGAACAAACGCTCAGTCACATCGTCCTCTCCAACCTTGACCGATCGACGACTCGTGGTGTTGAACGGTGCCTCGTCTGTATTGCAAAGTGCCGTACCACCAGCGCTGTGGTTGTCATCCGCTGTCTACCACTCAACTACTGTGAGCGCAACCGTGGCTGCCACTTGACAGACTCGTTTATCGGGCGGTGCAAAGGAACCGGCGTGGTTCGCCAGGCCCTTCTGCCCTCTCCCGCCGTTCTTCTTGCGCCGTTCTTCTGGCCCTTTGCCGTCTCGCAGCAGTGACATCGACAGGCATCTTCTAGTAAAGTCCCTTCCATGTCGTTTCTCCCGCCTCTATCCCGTGTCACGCCCATCCACCGATTGGCCCACTCTGAATCGTCAAAATGGGCCAAGGAGGCTGTGGCATGTAACCGTGAAAACAAACAAACAAAGCCTCACGATCTTCAAAACACTGACTGATCCAACTCAGTCCGTGTCTCAAACACGATGCCTCATTGACGAGTCAAGCGGTCGATCACAACGTTCTGCGACAAAACAAGGCGCGACAACACAACTCGGTGTGGGCGGTACCTGACAGGATTCCCGGAACTTTCCCAGAGGAGGTTGGGACAGCCTCTCAGCCCAATGAAAATCCTCCAGACAAATCGGGGAACATGATGGAAGCGCTAGACCGTTGGGCCGTTGCTCATTGGCGTTCAAGCCCCTGACGCACTATCTTCCATTCCTTCTCCCCGGTGCCTTGCTGTCGCTTGGCTCGACTCCCTGTTCGCACGCTGAGCAAGCCTCACACCGCCAGCGCATTGTCTAGCTGAACGTCCGCCCGTATGGCGTTTCTCGTAGCGGCCGGCAACCTTGCCGACATGTACTTCGCGACTGACGATGCTATGTAATCAGGGTGTTTCAATTCGAAGAGAATCGCGCGGTTTGATCGCCGTGCTGTCCCTCACGATCGAGCCCAGCAGAAGAAAAACCGGAGCAGGACTATTCTGTTCCAGGCTCTCGGGACCTCGCAGCATGACGACAGGGAGAAAAAGCAGCTGGTTCCGGTCTCAGGTCGGCAGGCGCCCCGCCTTCTTCGCTCGTCTCTCTCCTTGGCCAGACGACCGGACGGCACGGACATGCAGAAGCGGGAGAATACCGTTGCCAGTCCACCCATCCACACCGGCCGGCAACGCTCAACGTGCATGAAAGAACAGCCAGTTCAGTCTTAAAGCTGACTGCACACGGAAGAAGGAATTCTGTACCTGAAAATTTTGCGTGTTCTGGACAAACACGTGGCGGGCTCATATTGACATGCGCGCGCGCACTTTGCTCACATCCAAAGACTGCATTTTCCCATATTGAACTGCTTTGCTGTGGAGGTGCGCGCAATCATTCCGACGGTTCGTCGCAGGATTTGGGCGAGACCGGTCTGGTGTTGCTGATCTCTCAATTTCACCGGATGATTCCCTAGACTAACGTGGCACTCCACCGACAGTACAATGCCGCGGCTTGGACATGGGACATGGGGGTAACGACGAACGTGGAAGTCCATCTACGGGGATCATTTTAGCTAGACGCACGAGATGAATCAGCACACGACTTTGTGGAAACGATGATGTAATATTCCTCCATGTCAATGCTGTTGCGCGCTTTTCTTCTTGTCGGCAGTACGGAGTATCATTACAGCGATGTCCATGTACAATCGTGGTATACCTGCAGAAACTTGGAAGAAAAGTAAGTAATTTCACACTGGAAATCAAGAATCTGTGCGTGTGAACTGCCGTTTTTCGATTAGCACGGGAGCCACGCGCTCAACGGCGTAGAAAAGGAAGAAGGCGTAGACTAGAGCTGCGAACCTGCGCTCGGGGGACGGCCCCTCAGCAACATTCTCTTCTCACCCAATCACAGCATTTCGGACTTTCTGCCCACACAGCAGTGGTCGATGAAGACGCGTTCGAGGCTACGTAGCTGCCAATGATTGTTGCGATTGGGGACATTTCTTAGTCACATGATTCGCTTTCGCTCGCATTCGCGTTCTCGATTATGACGAGGTCAGATCCAGTATCTGCTCCATAGTAGTTTCTGCTCCTCGGAGCCTTCAAACTACGCAATGCATGCTTTGGTTAGTCCATGTTACATTCCTGCAGCCCAGCCTGCGTGGAAAGTCTTGGGTTACGCGTACCTCGAAATCATTCTTGATTATGTCTTTGAAACCTTCCGAAAGCTTAGGCTCACGGTATCTGGAAGCGAAGCCACTGAACGCAACGTGCGGCAGGATAGTACGAGATTCGCGGTTCGTCTGTGGGTGGAGATCCGATGTTAGCATGGGAGTTTCTCCGTGTGGTAATGGGATTTCAAGCATTCCGGATGTTCCGCACAACCAATTTCCACATCGGATAGTGTGGTAATAGGTTTGAAGCGATCGTAAAGTCTATCTTCCGGCACTCACGCACGGGAAGAGGCTCAGTAGCTAAACTTACTTCTGGACCAAGGTTCAATGCGCGGAACGTATCGTTGTGCTCGCACAGCTTCGGTGTCGCAGTAAAAAGTACGCAGCGGATGGGAACTTTCAGCTTCTGCGCCAACATAACCCACACAGCGCGTGTTTCTGGATCGGCATTGGTATTGTCTGAACAGGTTAGCTTAGTATGCGGAATGTATTGGGGCCCCAGATCAACATGAACATACCGATAACCGCGCTCGTGCCTTCTTCGATGAGTGCAGTAGCAGCCTTTACACACTTCTCGCGCTGTTTCAGAGTGTTACTCGGAGTATAGAAGGGTCGCACGACACGTGCGGCAGGATGACTCAGTCAGCAACGTACAGTCTTCAGGATGTCTTGATTCACACGCCCGTATCCGAGTGGCTGCAGATGTTTCCAATAGAACGATGATTTACCTGAGCCCGGACTGCCGCAGAACATGACGATCTCGGGGCTTTCCGTTTGTGCAAAGGCGTTTGCTGCAGATAAAGTTAGCACACGGACGACGGGGAGACGGCTGAGAGGTTGCATATCAGACTTACGTGCAGGTGTTGAGCCTTCAGCACGCACTCCCGTGTAAGCGGTCGGGTCAAAAGCCCTGATGAATGGTCGGGGATCTTCATGGCGGAAGTACTCTTCAGGCGTATAAAATGGTATACCGACATTAGCAGCAAAGTCTCTACATAGAGTTAGTATCCTGGTAATCATGAATGCACGATCCGGGATCTTCACGAACCTGTCGACACACGAGTGGTCCTTTACACCGCCAGCCACCGCCTCGCGACCACCAGCATCCCCAACGAATACAGAGTTCTCTAGATCGATTGATTCTGCATTCTCAAGATCATAGTCCTCCAGTAGCTCGTCCCACATCCCGGTCCTGGGCTTCCTGTACCGGTCACGACTCGTCGCAGCGTATATCGATATCGGAAAGTCGAGATGGTTGAAGACTGCTGTCACCTTGGTCTTGAAGTCCGCTAGTCGCTTCTGATCTGACTTCACGGTCTTGGGATCCGGCTTTAGACTGATTCCACCTTGATTGCTGATGATGGCGACGAGGAAGCCTTCTGCATGCAGCTCTTTCAGCCGTCCTGGAACGCTACTATCCCACCACTTCCAGTCATTTGCATCACGAGCAAATGTTTTCCCCGATGCAGATGTGACAAGTGTGGAGTCAAAGTCAAAGGCTGCTATTCTGCGCCTGCCCTTCGTTGCCGACTGCGCTGCCGCGCCAAAACGTCCGACTAGCAAGCTGTCTTTGACTATCCGCCAGGTCATCTTCTCTGGCTCTTTCTTCGAGGCAGGTGCGAAGAAATTGGCGACTGCCTTGCCTGGGTCATGTCAGCAAAGACGGACATCGAGGAATGGCTGACGAACTTGTTGTAGTCGACTGTTGCCGCCGCTTCGATGGAGGTGGCGACACGTCTTTTCCGTTAGAGCTCGGTCGCTTGCTCAAACCAGGTCGAGTGGACATTGTGCAGTTTGTGTTATTGCCAGGATGGGTGCATGGCGATGAAGGTTGATCTCTGTTGACAAAGCAACTCGGTGAGGTTGCTCGCTTGCGCTTTCCTTCGGCGCGAAACGCGAACTCACGCGAGCACGTGCCTGGACTGAACTCACTGTCACGACACCATCGAACGAACTTCTTGGTCAACGATCATGCCACATACATTACAGTACTCTATCCATTACGGCACACTGCTTGCATCTATACCCTTGCTACCTCCGCCGCTTGAATATGGGCGATTCATATTTATTATTTTACTCACTCGTCTGAGACCACATACACAGCAGAAGATCGATCCTGCTCAGCTTCCTGATCCGACGCGCAATCTCATCGCGATGCTTTTGTCTCTAGGCTGATTTGATGCCCTGGCGTTGATTATTTTCGCTGATCATTCCATAGAGCGGAACCAGACACATGTATCTAACCTCAGCCTTTGTGTGGTGACTACTATCTGGAGAATACCCAGTCCATATCCATTGCTCTCCGTCAGCGAGAGACCGTTCATCACCTAGGCCGTGCTTGGGTAGCAGGAGCTGCAGGAGCCTTGTACTTGACACGGGGGTCTAATGCGAGCCGATCTGGCAAGTCCAAATTCACGCAACCCTTCATTTGCGCCTGGAACTTCTTCAACTCGTTCACCCCTTCCTCGAGTACGGCTGCGTTGTTGAAGTCTTCGATACGAACCGTAGCTTGAAGTATGTATACGCCACTTGGGTCGAGGAGCTTCAGACCTTTCCATGTCGGTAGTGTGGCCTTGGGGCTTTTCTGGACGTTGCGGATGCCGGGCTCGTGGAGGATGCGGTGGAGGAATATGACGACGTTACCGAGCACGAAACGGTAGCCCTCGACGTAGAACTCGGTCACAAACCTGCGCTGGGGTTAGAGGTGAAGGCAGTGACAGGGAGAAGATCTCACTGGTTGGGTCCCGAGGCGATCATGAAGGCATGTGGATCGCCAGACAGCAAATCAGTGGTGTTGGTGAAGCGGATGGAGACACCTCTATCACCAGTATCCGGTACATCCCTGAAGACGAAGGACCATGTTGGCTCTTCCCCATCGTCTACATCAGCGGACAGGACCTTTGTGCTCTCCTCCGGCACGCCATCCTCAGCAGCAAAGTCGTCTTCCGACAGCTTTTGGACCAGCCGGGTGTGGTAGAGGACGACGGGAGCAGCTTGTTTGGCCTGCTTCTGCGCGACAGTCTGGGTACCGCCGCGACGGCCAAGATTGGAGCCCGGCTCTTCAGGCTCGCGCGTGGGCTTGTAGACGACATGGCGCTCAAAGACGCGCTGGGGCTGCATCATGGCAACCCCCGCCAGGATGTTCAGAACCTGTTCATAGCGCGCAAAGGTGACCTGGCCGTAGAGGCTCAACTCGTGCATGGTGAGCAGGTCGGGTCCGCACGTCCGCACCGCAGTCGGAGAAGCGAATATCAATATGCAATTCCCGCTGGTCAGGATCTGGAGAAGGCGGCGGGGTGATAAGGCGAGCGGGCGTGTGCAGCGTTGTCATTGGCGGCGAGCGATGCACTTGTAAAAGTTTGGAAAAGACAACCGGGGCGGCATGGGAGCTATGACCGCGAACGTTCAAGAACGACTCCAAGTGTTGCGCGTAAGCCCACAAACGCCGAGGCTTGCGCTGGAAATGGCTTAGAAATATCCATTGCTCTGACATTTGCTCATTCGAGTGTGGGGAGATGCCGCTCACGTGTGAGTGGGAGGGTTGTTGGTTTGCAATCATGGAGCGGCCTTCGGCGCAACCTAGTCTTCCTTCCGCAAATGCGAACAACATTTATGCGGCTCCCCTCAACCTACCTGCTCCTCAATAACTCAACAAACCGCCCGTCCACCAGCATCTGTCCCGAGATCGCCTTGCTTCGCTTCTCTAATACAAAACCTCATCTGAAGTCTTCTGCGCAAGCTTTTCAGTGATTCCAGCCCCAATCGCAACCTGCACATCACACCACCACCAACAACCCCACCTCATCTCTTTCACAATGAACGCTACACGCGCCCTCGCTCGCCAGCCCATGATCCGCTTCCTGGGCAAGCGCAGCACTCCTCAGAGTACGCATTGCCATCACACGGCGTCATAATAAATAGCTAACGTTGCGTTTCAGAGGTTGACCACACCCCGCACGTCCACCCTGCCTCTCCGATGAGCGAGCTTCCCTCATCCTTCGCGTCCTACCGCAAGAAGGCGCAGCAACACGGCCCACTCAACCACATTCCCAGCGCCTTTGTTGGTGGTCACATTGGCGGCGCAGCCGGCAGGAACCTGGGCCCCATTGAGGCAGGCAAGGGCCTATACTTCGACCGCTCCGAGCTGCCCGCACGCTTCCAGAGCCCGTCCATGACCATGGCCGAGATCGAACTGCTCGAGTCTGGTGGTGCCAGCGCATTCGCATAGATCAAGAAGGCACGATGAAGCGACGATAAAGGGAGGCTCGGACTCGGATACGCCGGATGAGCTGGTGTACATATATACCCACACGCGCCTGGAGGCGCACAGCATGCGGACTGCGATGATTTACTTTATGAGATTGGGACAATAGGTTTGGGCAAAAGCGACAAGTACTGGTATTACTTTCCTTCTATACCCATCAAGATCGATGCTCGGGACGAGATGAAGATTTGGGAGACTGCCATCGGCTGGCACTGTATGAGGTTACTGTATGGCGATACGGACAACTACGTTTGTAATTCGAGACAAATTCACAAACAATTGATAACACAACTATATTCTGAGGGACAACTACATTCTCTTGCCGCAAAGAACGAGCGTCTATGACGAGCAATCTAACGTAGGCGTGCCTGCAGCCTGCAAATTCTTCACAATAGACATTCTTTACGAACACATTCAAGTGTCGGGAGCCTCTTGAAGCGTTTACCTTAACCACTTCGAGACATATGCAACGAACGGTATGCAGTAGTCTTTCAGCTTTTACTTTACTTTTGGCATCGCAGCCGTCCATTACTACTTACCCTGCATGCTCAACAAACCCACCAACACCCCGCCAATACGTCACAACCCAGCTACTTCCTCCAACACTACCAAAAAATTCTCGTATTCAGCGTGGGAGATGTTTGCTTATTCCTCGCTGCCAACGCGGGCTCCAACGGAGGAATCTCGGGCGCAACAACCCACCACGCCACCGACAGCTGGCAACCCACAGCCTCGGCTCGCCAACAGCAGCCCTCCACGTGCCTAACCACGTTGGCACAAGGCGCGCACGTGAGATAGCGCTCGATAAGGACAACGCATGGCACCACCGCGCCTCGCCTTTTCCCACGCGAACCAGCGCGCGCACAAAGAAACTTTCTTTTGACCACCGGATGAGTGCTGGTAAAACTCACACCCGGGTGCATCAGCTCAGCTACCGGTTTCGGTAGGAAAGAAGCGAGCTGTGGAATGCTGCGTCTCCCGGCGGTTAAAAGATGGGTGTTTTGCGTGGGTGCGCTGAGGGTTAGGTTTGGGGAGGCGGGTAAACGTTGTGCAGATGGACAGGGAGGTATTTTGGGGGTATGGATTGGAGACGGATGCTGGAGATTTAGGATATGGAATGTAGGTATCATATATGGAAATCGCTGCGCTCTGCTTTACTCTAGAGCCGCTTCTCTTTCTGATCCCAAGTTTGCCTGCGGTGAGGAACATCTGGAGACAAGACCTTTGTCCTATATTGCCTGCGGATATAGTCTGGGACTTTGAAAAGAACCGTTTCGTTAGGCTTTATCCGTCACATCGAGTGTACCTGGATTGTGCGCTACAGCTTTCCCCTTCTGGTCTGTGAATAGCACCTAGTCAATCAAATCAGTGTCTTGTCGTCGCTACTTCTCCCCTTCGCAGGATCAGGAGACGTACCTTTGGTGGGTGCTTTACGCCCTCTGCATCAGCTTCTTCTTGGTTGGCCACCATCTTGTCTACCTTCTCATGATGTCAGCTCTAGCCTGTGAGGCTTACGTGCTGCAGATGCAGGCATGGATAGCGTACATCGCCCTCGTGCCTTCCACCTCTTATCCGCGTGTATACATGGTCGCCTTCTTTTATCTGCTCGCCGTTCTTGGAGGTGACATCGGTGTCCGCATCTTGGGACTTGATCGCGGGAGTGTGCGCTTCAATCTCATCGAGAGAGTGAGAAAGGCGGTTCGCCATTCTGGACAAGTTGTTGCGACTGTGGGTTTAGTTTTCAGAAACGTTGGTACGCAGTTGACTTGTGTTGGATGCGCATTGCAAACATCTCTCCGTTCATTCCTTACTGTTGGTCATTGCTGTGTTGGTCCACGGTCACGATGATGTCATCCTTGCTGGCACTCTCAAGGGGGCAGTTGCGTTGTCCATCAACCGCGAACAAAACATGATCAACGCAGCGGTTATCCTTTAGTCATGTTCTCAGCCGGAACAACGTCGGTCTACAAGAGACTTCAACACGCACAAAACTCCTGACTGAGAAAACCAAACTAGTGTTCACGATTGAAACAGCCAACATGTGGAGCCCAGCAAAGCACCAACACCCCGTGCTAGACCCTCCCCCGGCGCATTATGAAATTACCAAGGGGCAAACACCTCGCACATCGCAACTTGGTTCCTTCTGAAACGAGCCGCAAGCGTTGTTTGGACGTCAGGCGTTCAGTGTTTTCTTTGTGTGCGCGTCGCGACATAGTTTTCGCAAATGGCCAGAAGTCTCATTTCTTTTGCGGATCGAAATTTCACAAGGTTGTTCTGCATCTGGGATCTGTGGCTGAGTAGCCTTGCTTAGGAGAGTGTGATGGAGGGATGAAGGTAGCATGCATTGCGGCCCAGCGTTGTATTTTCGGAGACATCGGCGCTTCCTTTTGGCAAAGTACGCACGGTGGCTAGGCGTGAGGCGCAGCCACATCGTCGCATCGGCATGAGTCGAGTGCTTGCGCGTTCGTTAACAGCTCAGCTCGTATTATCAGGGGATGTCGTATTAGCCACTGTGAAGCGTTCTGCCGATGCCGTAGAAGGAGGTTAGCACAGACAATGCGACTATCATAACCATTCACGTTAATGCAGTAAGAGGATGATTTTGAAGTTGCGCAATGCGTCATGTATTTTCTTTTGGTAGATGTGAACCTCCGATGTCCAACTTGTATGGGTATCTAAGATGTTCTCCCATACACCAGCCCTAAAGTCTTATACAAGGAAGTGAAAAAAAGCAGGGCAAGCCCGCTGTAGTCAAAGAGCGACAAGAAATGTGAGAATGAGCCCTCCAATGCGCAAAGTATCCCCATATACATCATGGGATCTGCTATGCAACAAGATGGCAAGGCGAAATATAGAAGAGCAAAGCTGAACAAGAACCGCGGTATCTGACGGTTCCCTTTCCGTATACTCCGGTCACCGGTCCCTGACTGATGCGTGAAAAAATGAGTCGTAACTTGGTCGTGCAAAGCGCTGACCCTGCCTGCGCTAGCGAGATATCAGAATCTTGGGTATATGGATCGTGGCGTGGCTGAGGAAGACGTTTAGATGATCTTCCAGTTGACGCCGTGGTAGCGGGTAGTCTCAGACAGGCCAAGCTCAGACCAGACAGAGCGGGAGAGATCGATGTCGTACTTGTTGACGCAGCCAGGGCACATGTCCATGATCTTGGCTGTGGCAGTCTTGCCTTGGTATTCAATCTCGATTTGCTTTCCGCACCATGGGTTGGAAGACTCGCCGGTCATGACGTCGTGGATGCTTCCGCCCATGGCGTTCCAGGCACCGATGCTGATGGCGACAACCTTGGAATCATCGGTCTGGAGCTCACCGCAAGCACCAAGGTCGCCGACGTTCATGTCGTAGACGGTAATCTCGACATCGTCGAAAGATTCACCGGAAGTTACGCCACCAGAGCCGTAGCTAGGGGCTGCGCTTGAGGGAGCAGGAGCAGGAGCTTGAGAGTAGACTGGCTCGGGGGCTGCGGTAGTGGTTGGCTCAGGCGCAGGAGGAGGCGCGACGTACGAGGAGACTGGGGCAGGAGCAGGAGTGGTGGTGGTGGGAGCAGGAGGAGTGTAGACGGAAGTAGGGGTCTCCACAGGAGGAGTGTAGACGCTGGAGGGCTTCTCGGGAACAACTGGAGTGTAGGCTGGGGGGGCGGCCTTGGAGGAGGTGGGGGCGGCCTTGGTAGGAGCAGCCTGGGGAGTGACCACAGCAGAAGACGAGGGCACGACTACAGTGCTGGTGGTGGAAGGCTTGCTGGGCTGCTCGTAGAATTCGCCAGCGCTGGTGGTAGTTGGCTGAGCGGTCGTCTCGTCGTCCCAGACGGTGGTGTAGACAACGACGGTCTCAGTGACGACCTCGGTCTTGTAGACAAGGGCGCGCCTGTCGAAAGGCGCAGCCACGGCGTAGGAGCCGAAAAGGATAGAAGCGAGGACAGCGGATGTCTTCATTTTGACGGTTGGTAGTGTTGGATAGCTGAAGGAATGGTGCTATGTGTGTTTGTTTGGGATTTGCAGGAGTGACAGAACCGACTAGCAGTTCGAATGAGTGGTATTGTGAGTTGTCGCGTTGACAATGTATTGTGTCAGGAATGACAGTGTTGAAGACAGAATGTCTTTAGGGAGTGAATGAATGAACAAGAAGACCTCGAGCCTGTAGAATGAGTGTTACAGGAGGGAGGGAGCAGGTTGAAATATAGAAAGAGTGTGTGGGTGATGGTGTGGGTTAGTGAGTGAAGGAAAGGTGGGCAGAGTGGATTCCCACGAGCTTTTACGCTAGGGTCGGCACTAGGCCGGCCCCTGGCAACGTGCCTGGTGCCATCGCTTGTGCATCGCATCCTCCGCTCACCACGACGCATCTAGCCTGCTTCTGTCATCGGGGGGCCTGCCACTCCGGGCCGGCTGCTGGTGGAACGGCGTGCCATGGCGGCCTCAACAACACCGCAGACAAGCTCGAGTCGTCGCCCCACTGCCACGCTCATTCGCCCATGGCCGTCGCTCCATCGAAATTGTCGGCGCTCATCTCCACCGCAACGAACTCGAGACTTCCTTTTCCTTGTGTTCATGTGCATGCGCTTGCCAAGGGCCCTCCCACCTCTATCGATTGCCTTCTTTTTCCTTACACTGACAGTGCGCTGGTTTCCAGCTAAATATGGGCAAGCTCAAAATATCGCAAGCTGACGGGTTTCATGCTTCCGCAAGTGGCATGGCGACGGACACAGTCAGCCAATCACAACGATGTGCCTGACGATCACTGCATCGCGGAGCTCTTCGCGCCCTCTTCCGCCAGGGGCATGGCTGGAGCTGAAGCCGGTAAACGAAACATCCCAGGCACAGCGTGTCTGCGCCTCGTTCGGGCACATGTCATCATCGCAGATGAGGCACCGACCGCTTTGACTGAACCTGTCTCGGGGAAATGCTACACACGTGTATCGCAAGGAGTCGCGCCATGTCTCCCTGGACTGACAGCAGATGGGCTAGAACGCAGAAGCGGTATGGCGACGGCGGCGCGTGGCTATGTGGACACGCTCTCGTTATTCAGACTTTGCCTCTCCGTACTCACCATTGGCTGCGTACGCTCCACTGCCTGCCAGCGCCAGCTCCAACTTGCTGTGCGCCGATTCGCAACGTGGGACCGGTTGGCGAGCCGTCACAGCGTCAAGGTGACATATCCTCCTGCGGTTCCTCTGCCGGACCGTCTCAACGAAAGCTGTCGTTCGCTCGCTTTGTTCTGCACGCTGCCAACTCCACAGCTTCTGGACTTTGTGATGATGGCATTCACAAGCCGTCAGCATGCGCTGGAAATGAATTGTGGGGCTGCTGCACCTTCGGCGTTGTCCTACTGGGCGGCACTGGTTCCGCGCGGCAGCCATGTGCGAGAATTTGCGCCCTACCTTATCCACTTATCGATTGCGATACCTATCCATCTCCACACCCATCCCATCGCGACCTATCACATGTGTGTGGTGAGTAACTCAGTCTCGCTCTTGGGTAGCAAAAGAGTTTTCATCGTTCGCTTCTCGGCAGCATGCTCATCGAACAACTCTGACGTTCACCCGTCCTGCCCGACCGCGCGTCTTCACAGGGGCCTGGGTTGTTTCTTGTGCGCAATATGAGAACCTTGATTTCGTCACCACTAAACGACTTGCTTCTCGAGATCACTTGGAGAGAGATTCCGGTTTGACGGGGAAAGCCGCAGAACAGGAGTTGGCGCTACGGCACTTCTGATGCGCTGCTTTTCCAGTTCCTATGGTTCGCCAGGTTTGGCTTGAGCAAGTCTACCAAACATGGTGGATCGCCCAGGACCGAGGATTACCGCATTGTTCTAGATTGCAGACACCTTCGCTCTTACGTGCCAACAGACCTGTGTCGGCATCTGGGATTACATGTTCGGTAGAAGGCTCATGCGTTGACCTCTGTGCGTATCCGACGTCAAGCTTGCTTATGGTACACTAGAAGACGTCGAGATGCTTTTGCCGTCCGCCCAGCCTGCAATACATCGTCATCGTTCAAAGGCAGCGGCAAGTTTCTCGCCAACGGTATGCGTACCAAGAACGTATGTGTGAAGGATCAAACCCCCAGCAACAGATCACAACGTTGCCGCGGCCGATCCTGATCCGATCGACATTCCAACAAGTGATCTTCGTTGCTTGTATGCACGCGATCTCGATCAATGTTGCATTGCTCCTACACACACATCGGACTACTCGGATAGACGCTGTATGCTAACAGACTACGCTAGCTGAGGTGTGGTTGTGCGACATTAGCATCTGGACAACTAGCCGAGAAAACTTCTCCAGCTTACCGATGATGAGAAGAGATTGTAGGCGTTGAGTAACGGCAGAAATCTGTGCAGCGTGCAGGTGTGCGAAACAGAAGATGTACCGATGATGAATACGCCATCGGCTGGTAGTTGAGTTCAGATTGTGTATGGAGCACAGTACGTGTGAGACTTCGATCATAATCGCAGTCTAGGAACTCATGGATGTCTCTGTTGCGGCTTTTATCTTGGGCTTATCTTTCCAGACCCATGTATTATTGGTTTCAAGAGTCTATCTGACAAGATGGCTATCTGTCGTTGGCTTCCCGTAGCGTCTTGCTCGTCTTCGTACTGCATCATTCCCGATTGCTACAAATACGCTATATCCAATGAGCATTCAAGCGGAGAATCTTCCTCTTTCTGCTGGCCACAAAACTATTGGCAATAGATTCGTAAGAATTTGACGCAGGAGCCAAGGCGTTCAGCTTCATGTCATACGAGGTCGTACCGGAAGTTGGTATATTTCGTATCTGTTCCGCATGTCAGCTTATGGTCACACGGTATCAAGTCAGCTCGACTGTTGTAAATGTGCCATCGTCGACCAAGTCTCTTGATCCACGTAGTTCAGTTCTCTCGCTCTCCTATGGCGCTGAAGATTAAGGGTTGCCTACTAGATAGTACTTTCCTTTCCATCTGAACCCAAACACAGCCTGATCAAAACTCTCATCGCTCGTTGCCTCACCTATATTTGCAAAACGTCTCATCAAAAACAAACTCCCCGGCACCAACTCTTCACCGGGCTCTGCAGATTCCGAAGGCCTGAAATACTCGTCATGGAACTTGACCTCATATACCTCTCTCTCCTCGTCCTCCCTCCCGGCTACCCTTCTCGCCTCGACGATTGGTAGACCGAACTGACAACCAACCATCTGCTTGTACGAGCCCATATTAAAGATCGGTGCGCAAACGAGTTTCTGCCTGCTTAGAAATCCCTGCGTATCAACGTCGGACCAGGACACGTCGTTTTCGTCTCGGACATGAGTGTTCATATCGAGAGGTAAATATTCATCTACTGCACGCTCCCCTCGTAGTAAGTCGCGCAGGAAAAGCATGCCTAAGTCCTCTGCGACGGCGACTACAAATAGCTTCTGTGCATGCTTATAAACTCGATAGGCGAGAAACGAGCGGCTGTGATCGGGGAAGTATATCTTTTTAAGATCGAGATCGTGATTCACTACTTCTCTGATGTTTTCGTGCGTGGCAAGAGCTTTTATGGCGGCTGAGGGAAGGAAGGAGTTTTCTTCGCCAAAGAGGGTGCACTTTATGGTATTTTGATGTATGGAGTGTTGGATGAGGATGTATTGAGAGGTATAAGGTATGGTCGTTGGTATGATTATTGACGATGACATTGTTCTCTTGAAGTTAACAGATGAGAGCTTGAGCGACTAGGCCGATGTAGTCTAGAGTTATTTAAACTCCAGTGAGAAGATCAGATAGTTAGAGCTCATGATTGTTATTACACAAACTGATCACGCTCAAGCCGTCAGCAAATTTGCGTGCTCATTCACTGCCAGCGAGAAACATATCCTGGCAAATTTTTTGCGTCCGGCACATCCATAACCTCGGGTGTGTCGCCCTCGCCCCCTTCACGATCATCTTCGTAATCTTCATCGACATCTCCGTTCGGCTTTTCACGAAAGAAATACCACCTTCCCTCACATATAAAGCCCCATTGGAATCGAGGCCTCTGCACATTTGCCTCTTCTGCACTCCCAAAGACTTCCATTCTCCACACTTTCTCATCCCCTTGCCTGAGATGCTCCAGATCGAATGACACATCATAAACACTTCGTTCCCGAACGACGTGCACCGCTGAAAACGGGATGCAAGATAGGTATGGAACCACTTGATCAAATTTCTCTGTATCAAGTACTGACGCACATACCAGTGCTTGGTTTCGAAGAAATTCGAACATGCTGATCCGATAATTTTCGCTTATCTTGTAGTGTTTTTCCTGCGCAATAGGAAGATCATCATCATCCATCTCATCTAAGAGTGTAGAGAGGAATTCCAGACTGAGTCCTAGCTTGATGGCGAGAAGGAAGAGTTTCTTACTCTTCCATTCGATTAGATCTATAAGAGCGATAGCATCATGAACAGAGGACACTTCTTCCCGTGGGTAAGTGCTCTTAGTTATGAATACGGTGAGGTCTTGACGACTTGTGAGGGTATTCACAGCGCTGCGTGGGAGGTAGGATATCTCTACACCGTCGAATGTGCATCTTCGTGTGAGATTGTCGATAGCGTGGATGTACTTTGCGAGTTGTTGCTCGTGCGTATCTGTGGACAACAGTTGAAGGGCCATGCTTCTGGTGTACGTGTGGAGAATGACTGAATGAGATGAGATCAGTGACTGTCTCTTATACTTGATGTGGCGCTTTGTCGTTTGGTCTGATGCAGTGCCCACGTGGATGTCTTGATCACGTAGGAGGGCAGGATGCCAGTATCTTGCATCTTTTGTGTCAATCTTCTAACCCGTCTCGACAGTTTCCTGGGTGTAACTTCTCATCTTTCATACGGACGGCGAAATCATTACCAATCATGCAATGACGATGAGGCGAGGCGTATAAGACGGGGAATTAGAATTGAGAGACCATATCGATATGCAACGGTGATGTGTTTTCCGGCTATA